ACTCATAAAAAATACATTAGGGGCAATTTTATTTGTGATTTTATTCGACAGACAAATTAAAAATAAATTTTGTTTGCAATTTAATTCATCAAACAAATAAAAAAATTAGTTTTATTTTATCGGAAAAGGTTTTTTATGTTGGAAAATCACGAATCTCATTGATTTGTTCGACACATCAAACGACAAATAAAATTAACTTTTTATTTTATCGAATCAAATTACAACTAAGTTGTATTCGTTTGATTCATTATATTTAGTGCCGATTTCACAAGTAGGTTTCTAAATTCATCTGGCCTTCAGTCATATTTTTTCAGAACAAAATTTGTATTTAAAGGGCAGATAAATTTTAAAACCTACTTGAGAGAATGGCCCTTAATATTTGTTTCAACTTTCAATTCAGTAATTTATGGATTTGGGATTTCATTAATTGAAATTTACGCAACCCTGTTTGTGTGGAGAGTACTGTCTTCACTGCAGTCGGCTGCTCAGTCACCATACTTGAGGCACAAGAGCTAATGCCAGCTGCCGCTCTTTTAGCCATTTCAGGACCATCAGATCCCCAGCCGGCACAGCAGCCAATATAGGTATCGCGGCAATACCCCCTCATTTCACGCGTTATCATCACCGAACTACAGGGAATATCACTTCTGCAGTTCAGTTGCAATGGGCAACAACGCAAGACCTCGGGGGTAGTAATTGGTGAGACGGGCGAAACTCGTCTCCGGCTGGTTCTCTGAAGAGACCGTCATGGTGATGACAGCGGCTCCTTACGGCATAACCCGGTTCAATTTATATGTAAGCCGTGGTTATTATTATTGAACTGGAATTCATCAATTTTACCGATACCACTTGCTCCCAATTTGTCAGCATAACCCTATCAAGAAAGACGGTAGTCATTAACGCGGAGCTCGGCCTCAACAAATCCTATAAGCTGCCAAGCTACTGCAGCATTTTCCATAAGGAGGGTGAAGCTACTAAACAGCACTGCAGCAAATAAGAAGGTGAATCTCTATATATTTAGACCGTCAGGCTGCAATAAAGGCGCTAATATCGTACAGCACTTCCTCTAGAAGTGTGACGGAGTGCAGGGTAGCTCTGGATTTGTTAAATGAAGCTCGCGAAGTTTCTCTTTTCCCTCAAGAGAGAGACATCACATGCCTTCAAACTGGCTCTGACTAATGATTACATCTGTAGAAGATGCAGAACGAAAGATGGATAGAGGTACATATCGCTTTCGAGTGTCCTGCCCTTAGCAGACTGCTGAGCGAAGGTTTTCTGTCCAATCTGGAACTAGGTGTTCCTCAATATTGCTCCAGGTAGGCAGTGCTGAGTTGACTTTCATAGCCTCTGCGAGGCCAAGCATTTGATGGCCACCATACCAAATCTCACCTTTGGAATGCACATTTATAACCAATCAAATTTTATTATAAAGGAATGCCAGTTTGGATTTGACGGTGCAACGAATTTTCTTCCATTACAAGTATTTTCGTAAATTTTTTTATGTGGAGGAAAATGCCCAACAACGTCAAAAACTTCCAGAAATCAACGGAGTTTTTTAGAAACTTGAAACTTGCTCTTTATTATACAAAAATTCAACGGGATATAAATCTGCATACCAAAAATATATGTTGAATTTTTTTAAATTTTGCTCAAAGTTTGAAATATGGAATTAGGTTCATACTTCTTTTATACTTTTATTAATATATATGTATAATAATAATTAAAAAAAATTCAAAACCGCCAAAATGTTGAACTACAGTTATTTTGAACGAAGGTGTACGTACTATTTTAAATTAGTACTGTATTTTATCTCGGTACTTACATTGTTCTCTTACTTTTGGATGTACTTAGTCCTCAAAATTGTATGTATCATTCAAAAGAGTAGGCCCCTACTCGATTTCTTTCGTCACTTGCTTATGGCACTCCCTATACTCCACGGAGTAGGGAGTATCCTGCCGATATTATATTTGCTTTGCGCTGAACACTATTTCCACACAAATTTCACTTTTCGGGCGCATATAAAAGCACACACATTCACTTGACTTGTCTATGATTCTCTGTAAGGGAGTTCACTTAATTTTTGTGTCGCCTTTTGAGCACTGCAAAATTGTATATTATTTTCTTCATTTTTTTTCTACGCGCGTGATCTTTTCACTTTCTTTCTTTTCAATAGACACCGCCTAGTTGTGGCTCAGAACGCTTTAAACCCCACTTCGAATACATAAAAACATTATACTATGTATATAATGTAATCAGGGATTTTTTTTATAATTTTTGCTTATCTTTATTGATTTTTACCAGCGTAGTGCAAATTCTGTCAGACTGCATACACTTATGTATTTTACATCCTGACTTTCAGAGCTCATGAAGCGAAAATCACAACAAAAGCCACCCTCCCTTGCTTCTGTGTGTATGCGTTGTATGAGGTGTTGTATCCCTTGGATACCGAAAAGCAAGCTAACCGCAAAACATTGAATACGTACCCCTATTGAGCAATAATAACAACAAACACCTACTAGGTGCGTACTTACACCTGTTTTGTCATGAACAACAACAGTTGTGAGAATGACAAAGCAACAACTACAACAAGCGGCATCGAAAAGCAAAAAACAAGTGCACTTTGCCTATGACATCGAAATGTCATTTCAAGCAGATATCAAGCACAATCGCAAATATTCAGTGTCATCGAAGTATATTAGGTACATATGCACTTGTGTACACAAACTTTAGTACCTTTTTATATATGCATACGTATGTACATATATACACTACTCAGGGACAATCATGCACAGGTACTTAAGGTCATCACTTATAACATCTGAAGGCTCTATGTAACTTGCTAACGTCACTGCCTTTCTGTTTGTTGTTATTGCAGAATTTATATTGCTATGGCTGCATCTGATAGACGATGTCCATGGCATGCGTCTGGTGTGTATTGTTGTTGCTTAGCACCCCCAAACTAGCATAAATTTGGTCACAATAAACAAGAATTTCGCATTCTATAAAATGTCTACCTTTTTATCATATACAAATTTAATTTTTCACCATGTTTTAAAGCATATTTTCTACGCGTATGTATACATATATAGTTACTGGACACAGGTGTTTTTGTTATTTTATGGTTGTAACTTTGTGTCTACATATGTACGCGCGCTTTTGCATTTCCGTTCGCTCGATAACCGTCGGACACAAAATCCATATCCGTGTTCAGCGGACTGTATGCGACACACTCTATTCAATGAATGCTGGTATTTGGCAGCTCTTCGCTTTTGCTTGAGCATGTTTTTATTGCACTCCGCTCTCTTTCGTTGATAGCTATTTGAGGCACTTTGAGGGAAATTCTCGAAAATGCCAACTGGCAATGCTGTGATGTTAAACGAACGCGGAATGCAACACTGTGGGCTAGAGTTACCAGTATCTATTTTAATCAAACACTCAATTAATGAAGAGATTTTAAAAAGTGGTCGATTTCAAAATCAACAATATAACAATAATTTTCAACAATTTTTATTGAGCTTGAGGCCGTTTTTAATGAAACACTTATTGTGGAAAAGCAACAATAATTTGAAAAAATGGTAGAAGTGATAGCTATTTAAGAAATCACCCCATTTCCTACTGAAAGAAGTCTGATGATTAAATTTTTTTTTGTAGTTTTGGCTGCATTCCAGGTTCTAAAATCGCATGAATCTTAAAACAAGTTTGTGTTGAGAAAAAGTTTCTTCTCAAATTCAGGTTTAAATATTTTCAATCTATTCGTCACTTTGAAATAATGAATTAGAGACAAAATTTTTCGGCCCAATGAGATTGCGACGTAATGCTTTTGTTTTTACTATCAAAACAAAAATGCGTTTTGAGTTTATGAACAACTGTCAAGTGTTTTCGTTGTGGTGTTTAAGAAAGTCAGAGTTTAATTTGACATTTTTTTGTTCACTTTTTCTTATTCCCATTTAGCCTGGTCCAATACTCCAGGGTTTAGAATATCAACCGTTCAGCAAACAACAAAAAAAAAATATGTGACTCGATAGAACTTGTCATGCTGATTTCAACCATATCAAGATTATTTGGCACAAATAAAAACCAAAACCAATAAATGAGGTTGAAGTTAAACTTTTCTTTTTATGTTTACAATATCTCGGAAACTATTTCAAATACCTTTTACCCGACGTTTACAATATAACCCTTTTTAATGCATATTTGAAATAAATTCCACTTAAAAACAAAAAAAACATATTTATATATTTATTGGTTACTGGGGCTTAAAAATATAAAAAGTAGAAAATTATGTACACTAAGTAAAAGACGCTCTAATTGTCTTTATTGTTGCTTCAATTCTTTTTTAACAGGTTATGTTGTTCAGATGATACTAATATTTAAAAAAATCAACAAATTTTATTTTAACCATTTATACCTTCTTCATTTTTTACTTCCGTTAGAAAATTTTTGTAGGGTTAAAATAAACCCGAAAAGTTCTATCGAGCCACGTTTTTGGATTTTGCATAGCCAGATTGTTGATATTCTAGACTTATACTATGTTCACGTTGAGCCTTTAACTCGAGTTTGGGGGCCATTTTGGCGTTAAACGTTAAACACTACTCATAAACTCGGAGCTTGCCATAAAAAGAATTTTTGTTTAAATCGCCTTAAACACCACTTTTATTTGGAGTTAAAGCGAATGCAACCCTTTTTTTTACTGAATTTGGTTGTGTCTTTGAAAATTCAAACCTGCAACCAGCTTGCCGACAATTAGTCTCCGTGCACATAAGTGTAGACCATCAACAATCTTCTCCGTTGTTCTTTTTCTTCTTCTTATTTGGCGCTGTAACCGCCCAAGCGATTTTGGCCGAGTTTAGCAAAGCACGCCAGTTGTCTCTTTTCTGTGCCAACTAACGCCAATTGGAAAGGCCAAGTGAAGCCAAGTCATTCCCCAACTGGTCTTTCCATCGCAGTGGGAGCCTCCCTCTTCATCTACTACCACCAGCGAATTCCGAGGACTTGGCCTGTATATGTGCAATAAGGATTTTCTTTTTCGATAAGCATTGCGACGTTTTAAAAAATTTAGTTCAGGTTATTTAAAATAATAAGCCAACTATTCCTATATGGGTATCAATCGAAACGGGTTTGAAGAGGCTGTCATTCAATATTATCAAAATCACGCTCTGCCAACTTAATTTTTACATATTTCATCTTCTTTTTCCTTAATTTATTAAAATTCTTCTTCCTAGTTACGACTTAATTGCAGCTGCAGCCGAAACTAAATTTTAAGTTGGTACTTAGCCAGAAAAGTCGAAACTAAGGCGAGTATGAATAGCTTTAGTTGTAACTTAGGATAGTTTCGACTTAGTTGTGAACTAAATATGACTATGAATATGTCTCAAAATATTTAATAAGTTAAATTAATTATTAAAAGTTGGGTATCAAGCGAAATGGGTGTGAACGAAATATGACTATTACTATTATTTACATATTACATCCCAACAAATACCAAAAAAATATTTCTCCAACCTTGGAGAAACTCATAGTTCACAAGTTGACCGACGCGCAGATACGTAAAAAATGATAAAGAATTTTTAATTATCAAGTGAAAAACGAAAGCTATATAAAGAGGAAAATTACCAACAAAAAGTAAATAATCTTCAAAGTATCCTCAAATAATCTTGAAATAAAATAAAAGGCGAAGTGAATCAAGTGGCAAAATTACTGTCGGACTGTATACTGTCAAGTGAATTATTGTAATACGATATGGATTAACTACATAATATAAAAGGAGTAATTAAATGAAAAACTAATATTTAAATTCATCTGTGTATGTAGTTTCATTCAAAAAGGTATAAGATATTTTACTATTTCAATTTCAGTATTTCAATGATATGTTGGAGAGCAATTGGAGAATTACATTGGAGTTCAAGTTGAGGACTAACTTGAGAAACAGTCCCTTTTTCATACAAAGAAAAGTGCCCTTTTTGTTGAGAACGCTATGATCCTCCACTTGAAGTACTGTAGAGAAAAAACGTTGGAGCTCTCAACTTAACCTCAAGCTGAGCTCAAACCTAAATGTTTGTTGGGATGGCTCACATAGATTAATGGATTTGAGTGAAAATTTAATTATTTTCATATACTTTCTGGAAATTTTTTTGATATTTCTATAAATTGAATTCAGAGTCGTTTTTAGTTTATACCTTGCGAGAGGTTAGAATATGTTTCGGAAAATCCTCAATCATTCACTTAAATGAGTTTTAAGTATCACTTAATGGGCCGTATGCTTAACACCTAAGCACATGCTTTTTTTAAGCAATTGCTTAGTTTTAATGCATACGGCCCAATGTACGAATTAAACAAATAGAAAACTTTAAATTTCATTTAAGTATTTATTTATCAGGTTTTCATAAAAAATTTATTCTCCACTAATTAAACAGCTTAAAAAGTTAAAAGGGTTGTATTTTAGAACTTTGACTATATATGTATGTATATAAGCAGTAAAGAAAAGGATGATTTCAGTATTCACATATTTTATATTGTGTAATAATTTTACATCCAATCGTATTTTTCTTTAACAAAGGCAACCACACCATAAACATAAGTTTAACTAAAAGTTTTTGTTTGCAAATGAATACAAAATACTCTGTTGAGGCAAATACATTTTATCTGTGACAGGCAACTCTGGGCCATTTAGGCTAACTTGGCCACACTTTTACTTATCAGCTGCAAACAGAGAACGTTAAATACAGAGAAGCAGCAATTACGAATCAGAGTGTAAATTGTCAAAAGTTATCAAAATCTGATTGCGTACACACCACACCA